CTTGTGATGATGATGATGATGACGACGGCGATGGTGGTGATGATATGTTGATGACGATCGTGGTGGTGATGATGATGATGATATGTTCATGATGATGGTGATGGTGATGATGACGATGATGATGATGGTGATGATGATGATGATGATGATATGCTGACGATGGTGGTGATGGTGGTGATGGTGGTGATGGTGGCGATGGTGATGGTGGTGATGGTGGTGATGATGACGATGATGAAGATGACGATGCTGGTGATGATGAATGGAATGGTGATCGTGATGGTGATGTCGATAGTGATTGTGATTGTAGTGAAGATGATGATGATGACGATGATGATGATGATGATGATGATTGGAATGGTGATGTCGATCGTGATGGTGATTGTGGTGATGCTGATGACGACAGTGGTGGTGTTGATGCTGTTGATGCTGGCGATGACGGTGATGACGGTGCATCTTTCCTGTCGGGTGTCGTTTCGCGAACCACCGCGCGACACAGCGTGTGTCTCGCCAGCAGCTTCACTTCTTTTGAAAGATCTTTGCCTGAGCTTTGTCAATGATGGCTGCAACGTAACTGGTGACCGTTTCTGTTTCTGCACCTTTGCATAAATCTGTGTACTATACATGATCCATTGGTCATGGAACCAGTGCTCGGTCACTGGGGAACCCGAAGAGCAAGGGGTCAAGCGCAAGCCTCCATGGAGTCTAAGTCCGACATTCCGCAAACCCGAAGCCCGAAGCCGAACGTAAAGAGCTTATGCAAGCAATTAAGTTGAGGCCTTTCAGGTTGAAACTGAAGCAGAATATGCCTCCGCCACAGAGCATCGGAACCCAAACAGCACTGAAACCTCGACCTGCCGGCAGCAAGTAACGTTGGTTTAGGTTGGTTTAGGGTTTAGGGGTGTAGGGTGTAGTGCCCTGTAGGTGGTAGGATAGCAGGGCAGAAGAAGCTATCGACATCCGAAGCTCAACTCAGTTCGAACTTATCCAACAACAGCACAAACATGCCAAACTGCGGAGCCTTCATCCTCAGATTTTCGAGTCTAACTTGAGCCTGCACCACAACCCAAAGCCCTCAGCCCAAAGCCCCAACTGCAAGGCACCCAAATTGGCGCTGTCCACCGTCTTGTTCCATTCGTCCACGTGGGGCAGCAGCGCTGCCACCACTTTAAGTCCTTCTCCACAGGGCCAAGGCCACGGGCTTTGAGATTTTAAAGGATTTAGGGTTTTGCATTCTGAGTTCAGTGCTTCGTGTCTAGGGCTTGGAGTTTTCAAGAGTTGGGTTCTAGATTCTCGGGTTGCATGTTTGGCGCTTGGGAATTTACGGCTGATGGCACCCAAAGGGAGGTCACAGTTGGGTATATCGGGGTCTCCACGAACACCTTCACGCTGTAAGCGCTGAGTCTGATCTGGCTCGTAACCAAAAGACACGTTTCGTAGATTATCGCATTGCATGGGAATAGTTCCTTGCGCGCTTGCTTATTTCATCACCTACATCCTGATTAGAGACAGAGAGATACAGAGATGGAAAAACAAAACATTGAGGATTTCCCCAGTAGTGCCGAACTGCATGCAAGTCGAACTGCTGGATTTTGGCAGCCCTAAACCATAAACCCTAAACCCTTACAGGCAAGAATGTCTCCTTCGCTTCCTTGGCCACGGCGTCTTCCGCCTGCATTTCAGCTGGAATGGATTGCTACCACCATCTAACACGGAAGTTGACATGGAGCCGGAACAGCCCCTTAGTGTGGAAGAACTCCCTTCCCACCTCGGCGGGCATCGCAATAGTACCAATCTGACCAGCGGCATGCAAGGAGCTTCAGCAACACTAGTAACACGACGGCGCGGAGTGAGGCGCAGCAAGAGGCATGCAGCGTGCACAGCAAGAGCTGAGGGTTGAAAAAGTTGCTGATCCTGGCCTGAAGGGTACCACCACGAGAACCACATCGTTTTAGCCGCTGTTTTGAAAGCAGCGGGCGCACAAGCCCCCCAACTTGCAAATGCTTGCAGCTGAAACGGCCACGGCCCATGCCGAAGACAGGCACTGCAAGCTCTGTTCCCCGCAGGCCCAAGAAGCATCAGTGTGTCCGAAAGGCTCCAAGCTGTTGGGCTGCCCCTACACCATGTGGGTTCCGGATTCCTGATTTAAGGTGTTGAAGCTTGGGGTTCAGGGTGCAAGCTGGCGGTCATCTGAAGGGGCAGAGAATTCACATGAATCCAGGGAAATCATAAACTACAACTGACCTGCCCCAGTGCCATTCATGGCAGACACTTCGGGCCTTTCCTGCCGGCTGGAGTTTGGCACCTGCGCAGGATTTAAAACCCTCCTCCGCAAAGCCGAAGCTCTAAATCGGGGCAAATGTGGTTGAGAAGGTATTACGGCATGATCTACTCAGGGCATAGCTCAGGATGCATCATTTGTAGTTTCATGTCTCTAGAACAACTTCGAAAAAAAGCAATACTTGCACTATCTAGGCCGCTATGCTCGTGCAGCATGATTCCTGCCTCTCGTCTCGGCTCCGAGTTCCAGACATCGTCGTCTCGCGGTCCACGGCCGGGGACTCACCATTGCTGGCAGATGCTTGAGGGCTCATGTCCTCTAAGATTTGGTTTTCAGGCGAGGGCTGGAGGTTCAGCAAGCCATCCTGACCTTTTTTCAAACTTGAGCCTTCAACCAAAACTTTCACGTCTTCCGCACAACCAAGACTTTCAAGCCGCTTGCTCTAAGCTTAAGCAGGAGCCCCTCGATGCATCTAAACCCTAAACCCTAAACCCTAAATCCTAGACCCTACACCCTATATCCTAAGCCCTAAACCCTAAACCACGAAGCCAAGGTTTTTCCTCTCAAGAACCAAGCGACCGATGGGGGCAAGAAGCAACTTTGCTTGCCCCGGCTCTGAGAGGCGCTCGAACCCAGAGAGCCCCATACCCCCTTAATTCAGGAATTGGACCTTAAAAGGTTCCTTAAAGGGATCGATAAGGGTTTCTATAAGGGACTTAAGGAATATATGCCTTAAATCATAATACTAAGGCCGCATAGAACTTAAGGGTATACTCCTGACTTAAGGGGTATTGGGCTCTCTGGGAACTGCAGCTTCTGGCTAAAGGAAAACTAGTTCGAGCCCTGCCTTGCGACTCGGAGTGCTACCTCGAGCAATGGTAACCATCCATGGGGCTTAGGGTTTAGGGTTTAGGGCAACATCCGAGCCGCCTACAGCCCGCCTGCTTTGGCACGAGCCGAACGAAAAGCATGGGCGTATGAGCCAAGCTCAGGTCGTCACATCTTGACCATGGCAACGAAGGCCTTGCCAGAGGCCAGTTGTGGTGGCAGGGCTCCAATCTGTCGAACTATCCCTGGGTTTTCGGAGCTGTACTCCCATGCTTCCGGTGGGGTTTAGGACTTTAGGATGTAGGTTTGGGGTTTTGGGGCTCAGGGATTTAGTGTACCCCTGCTCTAAGACTTCGGGAGTTTGAGTTCGGCTTGCTGTCGAGGTCAGACTCGTCCAGCAAAGGACATGGCCTCCGGCGGAACTTGGACTTTGGCAATCTCGCGAAGCCTCTTCTTCCCCTCTTTTTGCCTTGCCAAGGCTGAAGTGAAGGGATGCAAGGGTTTTGGACAGAACCCTAAACCCTGAACAGTACTGCTGACAGTAAGTCTATAACAGCTCAAAAACACGACCATTCGGGCTGGAACTGCTTCTGCCGCTGCTGGAGCATTAGGCTAGGGTCTTCGATTTGGCCTTCTGGATTTCATGCTTGCCCTGTTGTGCTTAATGTCTCGGATTTAAGCCTTCATGTACTACGGTCTCTTCTAATGCGTGTCGGTTGCAAACACATTGTCCCCATCCTCGTTTCTTCCGCATGGAACCCTAAACCTGAGCACCCTAAACCTAAACCCTAGCCCCAAACCCTACACCCTACACCCTAAACCCTAAACCCTAGAATCCTAAACCCTAAACCCTAAACCCTAAACCCTAAAACCCCAAACCTTAGCCCCAAAAACCCCTCTTCGCCTCTCCAGGAGCTTCGCCTTGCGCGAGGGGTCGCCGCTGTGGCCGTGGCTGAGGATCTTCTGCGCCACGACGTCCTGGCATCCGGGGGTCAAGCCAGCCTGGGGCCTAGGGCTTAGGGCTTAGGGTTTAGGGTTTAGGGCTTAGGGTTTAGGGTTTAACATCTGGGGTGTAGCGTTTAGGGTTTAGGGTCTAGGGTTTAGGGTTGGTGATGTCCTACATCTCATGGCTGCTGTCGTGGCTGGCACGGTGTACCCCGTTGTTTCTTCACGCTTCATACTTGTTATCGTGCTTCTGAGTTTCTGCATGCTGCTTTTGGTACCATGGCTGATTCTTTATGGCAACTACTTTCGACGAAACCCTCCCCCAAACCGAAGTCTGAAACCCCAAATCCTGAACACATCCTGAAATCCCTACCCCAGCTTTTTCAGATATGGTAGTGGTGAGACTTCGAGGGATGGGCCGAGCACGTTTACTGTCCCGGGCTTGGGGTGTAGGACCGAGAGTTTGTGCTACTTCTACTGTCAACTTTCTCGAAGTGACTGAAGGAAGGCACCTGCTCTTATTTGGTGATCCGGTCCTGAGTGTAGATTTTGTGATTGCTATCACCGCGACTATTCGGCCACAGTTGTTTGGGAGCCGCCTCGCATCTGCTCCGATAATAGCCTAGGACTTGTTCCTGCAGGCCTTGGATTTTAGGCTGACAGCCCCAGACCATTGTCAAAGCGCGCTCAGCAAGCTGAATGCCCAGACTCTTACAAGGGTTAACAGGACTCCCCTGAGAATGAGAAGGCTAACCGTTCACCACTCAAGCCCTGTCCTTTCTGATTGGCTTGATGCGTACCTGGCAGCACGACAACCAGGTGTTGCTGACAGTGGATCTGATGGTAATCTCACCCTGACACTGTCTAACACTGTAAAGTCATACATAGGAACCGACGGTTGTGGGATGTCTCGGGTCACATGGGCTCATCCTAAACTGAATCTTCCAGCCTTCGCCACCACTTTCCCTCCGACGACAGCCTGGATGCCGATATCGAAGAGTTGCCTGACGGAGCGACGCATGGCTGAACGGCGTAAGGAGCCATCGGAGCTTCAGACGGTATGCCTTCACTCTGGTGGTTACAGTAGGGCTCCAAGGGACTGAGGGAAGGCTGGCTCAGAATATTTCCGAAACTCACAGCCGCGCTACGCCGGGATGACTTTCTCCAGCTTCTCCAGGTACTTGCGCGACACCTGCTACAAGCAGACGCTCCAGTGACTTCCTCTCCAGGAGCCGAAACCATGCAGGGCCGGCTTGTGACAACGAAGCAAGAGCTCACAACAAGCGGCCGTCGTCCCGGCAGCAATTGGGGGGGTGCGTGGCTGGAACCGGCAACATGAGTCATTGAGATCTCTATTACTATTGAGATCCCTAGACTGCGCAGAGCGCAGAGTACCTTTAGCTGAGGAATCAACCTAACTACACAAGTGCTTCTTATTATGATGTGGGAACTACTCTTCTTTAAGGGGCAAGTTGGGCTTTCTGGATGCATCAATATACAAGCCTTAACAACTGAAACAGGGTTTTGATGTATTTCTATACCATAACTAGAGATGAGGCACCCTAGGGAATTTCCGTCTCCTACACTATTATTATTATTAGTATTATTATTAGCATGATTATTATTATTATTAGCATTATTATTAGCATCATTATTATTATTACTACTATTATTACTATTATTATTATTAGTATTATTAGTATTATTATTATCCGTGTCCCTAGCTCGCCTCCGGAGCTTTCGCACGCAAGGCGAAGAAGCTCAGGGCGTCCACGTGCTCGTTGTTCAGCCGGACGCCGACCTTCCGTGCTTTTGGGCTCGAGACGTCAAAACAAACATGGCAGTGTCGCAGAGGCAATCATGAGATTTCTGATGGGAAGAGTATGTAGCAAAAAAACACCTGAGGACGAAGAGCGCATAGACGGCTTTACGAAGATTCGGAAGACGGAAGAGAACAAGGCCGGACCGCGGCAGGTGCATCCCGGCCTTCACCAGGTCAACCTCGGATAATTGCTCGACAGGAAGGAGACAAGCAGCTGAGACATCTCCGAACAAAAATACGGGGCTCTAGTCGGGCTCTAGCTTAGGAATAGGGATGTGGAATAACTAATCTGTATTAACGTCGAACTGCCGAGGCCGGCACCGGCTGGTAGCCCGCGGGCTGGTAGTCGAAGCTCGCGAAGCCATGGCTGAGAGCCTGCAAACCACTGCAGGAAAGTCGAGATCCCAACAAAACCGACCAAAAACGGTTTAGGGTTTAGGGTTTAGGGTTAGGCCCTCAACTCCTTAAAATGCCTGTGGAATCTGATGGTTGGGAAGGTGTCTGAGACAGTTCAGACGGTGCCTGAAGCTTGTCGAAGAAGTCCGTGATGACCTGCTGGCCATAGATGGAAAACTCGCAGAAAAAAATCTGGAACGAGGGTGAAGGAACTCCCACATAACATACCAGAGAGGCAGCCTCTGCACTATGATCGCCTCCCTTTCGAGCTTGCGGAGCACGTGCTGGAACATAGCATGCATGGGAAGCAGAGCTCTCATGCTATCGCTTCTGGAACATACATACATGCATAGCTACCATACATTACATTCGTACTTACAGTTACATGCACAGAGAAAGAGACAAATAGTAGCTTAGGGACATATTTCCCACTCTAAAACACCACAGCAACAAACCTAGTTCCTGTCAGATCGACGCCTACCCAGAGAGCCCAATATCCCTTAATTAAGGAATATACCTTAAATCATAATATTAAGGCCCCTATAATTTAAGGGTATATTCCTTATTTAAGGGGTATTGGTCTCTCTGGGTACTGGCTCTCTGCCATGCAAGACCCGCCTCCGCGAGGGGGAGCCTGCAATGCAGAGTGACGCTTAGAGGATTAGAGGCAGATGCTGGGACTAGCATTGCATCCTCGGGTTTTTAAGCTATATCTTTGCTTTGGCAGTGTGCCGACCTGAAGCTCCTCCTGCTGCTATGTCGACGATGATCAAATCTTGCTTGGGAATCACGGCCCGCCTCCACTTCATGAGGATGCGCTCGCCCGCATTGTCCAAGGGCTCCACCTCAGGAGACAGACAGGGCTTGCTGCTCGAGGCGGGTTTCAGGGTATAGGGTCTACTCGGAGGCGGGTGTAGAGTTCGCTGTTCAGGGAAACTTAAGGTCTTTGGGGTTCGGCTGCTTGCGTCTAGATCGTTGGGGATGAAGATCTCCGGTTCAGGGCGCCGGCAATGCACAGCAGACCACCAAACACTGAGCGTTAAGGCCGGGGCTGAGAGCTCCTGAGGCCAAGAGCAAATACACGACGAATGACTGTTCTTGGACGAGATAACCCGTGCACTGGTGTCGCGCGAAAGCCGAGAGAAACAGCAGAAACGGTGGTGGCAGCAGTAGTCGTCGTCGTAGTGGGACGAGTCGGAGGAGGAGGAGCAGGAGGCGGAGGAGGAAGCCGCTCTGGTTCGCGTACTCATCGTTACTTAGGATCATGGGTATATTGCCGACATCCCTGCAACCATTTATCTTTATCTTTGTCTTTATCTGTTTCAAACTTTACTGTGCGGTTTCGGGGTTGCTGTGGTCCTCTCCACGACGCTCGATGCAGAGCTGCTGGATACCGGGCGTCAGCTCTCGAGGCAAGACCTGACTTTAATGGCTTAGGAGTTCAGGGTTGATGTTGCTCTGCTTAGGGTTTTGGGATGTTTGTGGTTCTGGGGGTGTGTAGAGCTTAGAAGCAGAGATCTGGGGATGCTTGCTACTGTAGGATGGAAGATCTGTGAAGTTCTCGTGGGACTCCACATGGCTACAACAGCAGCAAAGGATCCCGACTCGTCCAAAGCCAAACCGACCTGCCCTTGGGATCCCGAGAATCTCAGGCTACAGCGATGGTGGCGGTAACCAGGGGCTCCTCAAAGACTTCCGCATGGACGCAGAGGGTACGTGCGGGAGCTGGGAAAGGGGAGCTCTCTGAATGCATATTGAAACCAAAGGCATGAATCTGAACCCAAGCCACCTCAACCTCCTTCGGGGGCATCGCCGGTGGCGTCGGGAAATCTCCTGCATGCTCCACCACCACCTGCCAGGTTGCCACGATCAGCAACAGCAATAGCAACATTGGCAGGATCATCGTCTCTAAAACCACCGTCAACAACATGATCATCATCGTCAACATCATCAAGAGCATGACCACTGACATCATCAACATCATAGTCATGGCAACTATCAGCCTCATCATCACCACCATCACCATCACGAACACCATCACCACCACCATCAGCATTATCACCAGCAGCAGCGGCAGCATCAGCAGCAGCGGCGGCGGCGGCAGCAGCACCACCACCACCGCCATCATCAGCAACAACAACGAAATTGGCGTCCGCAGTGGCACCACCGATCATGGCGCTGATAGCGCGGGAAGATCCACCTGATAAGCTGTTAAAATAAACGACTGACAGTTGGTGGTGTGGGTCGGTGAGTGAAGGTTTCGTGCTGGAGCCTCCAAAGCGCCCAAGTCTTCGGGACAAGGCCGTCTCCATTAACTTTCAATTTTTTTAGCAAGGGCTGATGTATGCTCAGGCCTCTCATGCCTTCCACGGGGTCTCTTTAGCTTCGGAGGATTAGACTAACTTCACAAAGTTGGAACCGGCTTTGGGCTTGGTGGTGGGTACCTGCTTGTCGTTGGCCAAGAGGAGGTGGTAGGGGACCGTCGGCGATGTTGCCAGGACATCCACACCTGGACCAAAGGCTCAACTGCCATGTGGGCAGCTCTCTAAATTAAGGCCTCCTTTTAGCTTGGAATGCGTGGTAGAGAGGCAGGGGGCCTGTCAGGATTCAGGGTCCAAAATCATCAGGGCTCACGATCTGTCAGACGCTCGCCCAAGCGTCCCTGCAGACAGGATGCCGGTCGCTTAATTCGCTTACTTCCTTACGGCCTGAAACCTAAACTCCCAAAACAGTCCTTTGAAGCCCTAAACCCAGAAACCCTAAACCCTAAACCCCTAAACCCTAATACCCTAAACCCTAAACCCAGTAGAACAGGACGAGGCGCCATACTCCCTCGACAAGCGCTGTCGGAAAACGTCCAGGTGGAGGAGGCCCAGGAAGCCGCATCTGAGCAATGGGGGGGGCTCTTGAGGCTTCAGCTCGCTCTACAGACTCTACAGAAGATGGGTGTTTCCGAAAATGGGAGACCCTAGTATAGTACCCTGAATAGTAGGATCCTTATTATAAGGACCCCATGAATAAGGTACCCTAATTTTCGGAAAGTCCCATAAGGTGGCCTGAACAACTAGATTAGGGCTTTTTGATACACTCTACTGTAGTTATACCATGGGCTACCACGGGGGATTGCAACTATTCATCATTCCGACGTCTCCTAAGTTGGGTCCCGCTGTGGTGCCCCCTTGTCCCCGAGGGTTTGGGTTCTTTGGGCTGAAAAGTGGGAAGACCTTATAGGCTTTAGGGTTTAGGGTTTACGCTTAAGGGTTTAGGCTTTAGGCTTTAGGGCTTAGGGTTTATTGCCGCACTGTTTCTCTGCCAATCCCTCACGGTGGGTGACTCGGAGGCTCAGGGCATCGGGATTCTTGGGGTTCTTGGGGTTCTGGGGTTTAGGCACTCAGAGATGTACTTATTACATTATATAGCATAGTATAAGAAACGTATATCATATAAAAGTATAGTATAGTATAGTATAGTAGAGTATAGTATGGTATAGTAGAGTATAGCATAGTATACTATAGTATGCTATAGTATACTATAGTATAGTACAGTATAGTACAGTATAGTATAGTATAGTACGTGCTCTAGCACCGAGCTCCAGCCTGTACCCGGAGCCGAGAACCGGGGAGATGTCCCGACGTGCCTCTGCATCAGATAGTGGGGCTCAGGGCTTTAGGGGTTGCTCAGGGATCTCATGGATTTAGAAGGGTTCGTAGTTGAGAGTTTAGGTTAGGTGTGGGGCAGATTTGGGTGTAATTATTCTGTACGCTTCCTGTCGCTTTTTGAAAGCTCCAGGACGTTAGGCTTTAGGGATTTTGGGCTTGGGTTGCTTGGGGCTTTCGGGCTTCACCAGTGGCCTTCCTAATCCCTGAAAAGGACTCTTGGTGGTTCGAATGCGCACTTCATGCGCGCAACACCAAAGTCCAAAAGCCCAGAAGCCGAAAGAACACAGAAGTCCCTTGTGCCCAAAAGGCCTTAAACTGCAGGCAAAAACCCAAACCCTGAACCCCAACCCTCAAAGGGAGATCCTAGAATCACAGAAGCGCCAAGCCTTGGAGGCTCCACTCTGGAAAGCCCTAAAATTCCCAAGGCCGATACCCTTTAGAAGCGACCCGAGACCCGAAGGCCCGGAGCAGCCACGATCCAGGGAGTGGGAAAGGCTTAACTTTACGGTCTTGGGGGTGTTGACCCCTTGCATCAGGCCTTGCATATTCTGTCACGGTTTGGTGCTCAGCATTGAAGGCTTACGGCCTAAGGTGTTTTTTTTGGCTTCAAAGTTTTGAGCTGCAGGACCTCCACGGAGGCATCGGTGAGGAGTAGACGCTGCATCGCCGTCTCCAGCTTCTCGCCATCGCTTACGGCCTGGCTGACGGGAGCTCTTGCAGCGACAACAGCACTATTTGTAACAAGAAGAACAATCAGTGTAAAAGTAGACGTCTTGCCTGCATAAATGCGCAGACTAAGTGGTGGCAGGGCCTTAGTACTAAGTGGTGCTGGCAGTGGTAGCGAAGAGGAGACTCACCTGTTGTGACCGGAGCAATAGCAGTAGCTGTCATGGGCCAAGACAAGCTGAAATCCCACTTCGACACCAACCGGAAGCCAACAACTCAGAGGAAAAAAGCTCACCCGTAAGTCTCAACCACCAACCACGCCTACTCGAACGCACCCCGCAAAGAGACGCCGGGTGTCCTCCGGGAAGATCCCGGCATAGACCATGGGATGAGCAGGCTTGAATCCGGGGAAGGGCTCCCCGGACTTCTCTCCGCCTTTCCAAGAAGTCTCGGAAAGAGTCCACTGCACTAAACCCGTTTGCGCACAAACTTCTGATAAGCCCTGCGATATCCTGACTGCCCTGCCCCAAAAAAACGTGAAAGACCCGGCAGTAAGGCGCAGAGCCCCGAGTCACCCGAATGTCTTGGGCCATGCCTTCCTGCCATACTGTCTCGCCCACGCGAAAGCTGCGAATGTCCTCTCGGGCCCTCCCACATAGTTCCCCTAATCCTGAACCCAGACACTTTACGAATGTAGCAGCCTTAACACTTCTAGCAGACACTAACGATAATTATGTCGGTTTGCACATCTGGCGTCATTCATCACTATGCCTCTTTCAACCTTGGATGAAGGAGCGACTGATTTCGATGCAGATGCCAGGCAGCTTCCCGGTTTCTGTCGACTGGATCAGCGGCTGTAAGGGGCTTAGGGCTCAAAGGACATTCACCCCTAGGCTTGGTGGGACTACGGGCTCAGATCTTGGGCTGTTTGGAGGTAGTGCTCCGGGCTTCAACTCAGTTTGGGGCGTCACCCTGAACCCTAAACCCCAAACCCCAAACCCTAAACCCTAAACCCCTAAACCCCAAACCGCAAACCCTAAACCCTAAACCCTAAACCCCAAACCCTAAGATAAACCCTGAACCCTAAACCCTAAATCCTTCGCACCCACGACGATGAAGCCGATCTGGCCGCTGCGCAGGTTGTCCACGGAGCAGAGGTCGGGGTAGAGGAGGCCAATATCCTCAGAGGTGCCCGGCTTTGGGTGTGGGAGCTTGGGAGCTTGGGAGCTTAGGGTTTGGGAGCTTGGGGTTTAGGGTTTAGGGTTCAGGGCTGGCCGGCTTAGGGTTTGGGAGCTTAGGGTACAAGGACCCGCTCAGGAGGCTCCACAAAACCCGGTAGAATCGACGAAGCTGCCATGGCGACGTGGACCCGCCCGCTGTAGGAGCCTCGCATCAGAAGCCGAAGCGGCCGTTGAGGCTTTTGGGGTTTAGGGGCGAAGGCCGGGGCCTTGGGGGAGTTTAGCGATTTAGGCTTTGGGAGTTTGGAGCTTAGGACTGAGGCTTGTCTGCTTCAAGGAGAGGTTTTTGGGGGTCGCTTGAAACCCTGGGTCCAACAGTGGAAACACGAAGCCGCAAAGCCTCACCCTAATCCCTGGGACATCGAATCCACCTATCCCTGCAGACCAAGGAGCAGTGGATCTTACTGCCTTTCCTCAGCTCCCCATCTTCGATCGCGATCAGCAGCACCACGCCGCGCCGACCTCAGGCGTGGGTCCAACTTCTAAAATTGCAACAAGGACAAGCAAGACTCGATCTTTGGGGTTGAAGGCTGTTTTTGTAGAGGGCTTAGAGCTTTCAGTGTAGGGCGTTCAGGCTTCGAGTTCGGGGCTAAGGAGGGTTGCTGGTGCATTCGGAAGGCCGAGCTCTTGAGTCCCCTACCAGGGCATGCAGGGACTTTTGATGCATCCACCGGTGCCACGGCATCACACACAAGTACTGATGATGATAAGCTTGATGGCGCTGATGATCAGCATGATGACAGACATGCTGGAGCTTACATCTTCGATGATGAGGCTGATGATGGCGGTGACGACGAGGATAACCGTGATGATGGTGACCATGGCAAGGGGGATGCAGAGATGCGGACGATGCCAAGGATCAGGACGATGCTGAACACATGTGCTCCTACAACTGCTGCTCATACGAATTGTGGGGCCAGAGCTGAACCACCATCACAACAACATCGTAATCATCGTACTGGTGAGCATACATAAAGCATGCACACACAAACACCACCACGACCACAGCAACAGACGACGACCACGACGACGGCCACGATGACCACGGCAGTCTGACTATCACGACAACCAGGACGACCATTCTTGAATCCGTAAAGTCGCCTGGAACTTCAAGCCAGCGAGGATGCAATTACACCCATGCGGGTTCTTCGTTCTATAGTCATAAGACATAAGATGTATGTGTGTCTTCCAAGGGGACCCCAAAGTGGCTTGAAGCATGGGTTTATTACCCGAAGTGCCCAACTCTAGCGTCGTCGAAGCCAGGTGGAGAACGGGTCCCTTCGCAGCCGCTCAATAGCTAGGCCATCAAAGCCGTGAACCCTTCACCTACCCTAAAACCAGATCTGTAGAAGTCCAAGAAGCTGTCGTAGTACGCATCGAAGAGCAAAGCTTTGAAAGGCGCTTGCGCTTTGCCTGGACCGCAGAAGAACAGAGTGAGGTTTCGCGGCTGGCTTATGTTACAATCGTAAGGCTTACTATGGCTTGCGAGTCTCGGGTTACAGGGTACAGGTTTTGGGTTTAGGGCACTGCGGGTTGCGAGTTCGGGGTTACAGAGTACAGGCTTTCTGGTGGCCCAGGACATTGAACACCCGTCAACATATCGCTTGGTTATGAACAAGCCACAGACCCCATTAGAGGGCATTCGGACCTCCCTCCCTGGGGTTTAAAACTCGGACTGGTCCTAAATCCGCTTGAGCCACAAATCTCAAAGTTAGAGAGAGAAATCCTTTTCCTGCTTTCCTCCTCCCGGGCCTCTGGGAGGAGGCACCTTGTGGATGATGGCCTCCCAAGCGAGCCGAGGACTCAACTTACCTTAAGTTTGACACTACGTCACAACACAATTCGAGGTTTGTAGATGAGACACGCAAAGCCCTGAAGCTGCAAAAGAACTAAAGCTTTAAAGCCCAAACCGCAAACCCTGAGTCCCCCCACCGTATTCAGATTCATCTTACAACATATTGAGGTGTCAAACACACTCCCTAAACCCTAAACCCTAAACCCTAACCCCGAAAATCCCAAAGTTGCGACGCAGTGGGCCTCCAGCAAACTCGGAACACCTTGTCCTGTCTTGCCGCTCACCTGTCGACTTTTGGGCCGTTTGGGCCTTTTGCAAAGTGCTATAGAGCCTTGGGATTTGGTAAGGGTCTGAGGTAAGCATCCCACTGCTTCGGGTTTATGTTTGGGCCCTCGTTCTTTCCTAAACTCCCATACTGCGACCTTACACTCAGATAGGCCCCAGTTCTAGACCGGGTGACGGATTTAAAAAAACCTACGCTCGAAGCAAATCCTTGAATAGAACCTCAGCAATGCTGAACGCCACATCTTCCATGAAGCTCGTACTTTAGGTAGGGCGTAAACGTGTCGATTATTGGTCTTCGGTCTTGCGGAGTTGCGTGACCCGAAGCCGCTTGCAAGCACCCATGAGCCTCCAGAACCTCGTCCGTGGAGACTCCCGTCAAGACGGACATCTGCCCTCAGCTCACAGACTTTGAGGTGAAAGTGCTCCTAGACGAGCTCAGTACCAATACGAAGACCCCAAACAAAATCTAGGGTTCGCGGCTGAGGGATCAACTAGAAGACAATGAAACCCGAAACCCTCTGTGGCGCTTCGTTAGCGCACGACCTGCGCAACCCACAACTCTGAACCCTAAGCCAGGGGTCGTTTGACCTCCTCCTTCTGTGCATAGTCCAGGTCGACCTGCAGGAGGCGAAGAAATCCGCAGGACTTCAGAGGATCGCTTAAGACTGAAGGCTTTGGGGACGGCGGTAATTGGACATTCCGATACGGTCCTAAAATTTTTTGCGGGTGTTTTGGGCATTGAGCATAAAAGCCTCATTTGCCCAGGGCTGAATCAATAGGCTTTCTTGACAGGCTTACGTCGTTTCTGGGAGTCTTTGTAACCTCATCAGGGCATTCGTAAGGTTTCTGGTCAACCAAGGCTCAATGACTCTTGAGCGGGGCTTCCATGCGATGCCTTAGGAACAGCGCTGAAAAGGCCCAGCAGCTCATGAAAGAGCTTTGGGCGGCATAGTACACTGTAGCTGTCCGGTTCGTTATACAGCCTATTCTAGATTGGTGGGGTTGCAGGTATGGGGGACCGTAGGAGGACTTGAGACAGCTTTTCTGGAGCGCCTAAGGCTCACGATTAACCACGTGGGGCTTGGCCATAAACCCTGCCCGAAACCCGAAAGCTGCGACGCTCAAGCTCAAGGCAAGCCTGCCATCTCGAAGCCGAAACTCCAAGCCCCGAACAAGAAAGGTTTTCGTCTTTGAGTTTGGGAACCCTCAACCCTAAACCCTAAACCCTAAACCCTAAACCCTAAACCCTAACCCTAAACCACTGAAGTTGGGAGCCTTGCTGAGGGCACACAGCACCTCCAGGTCTGCTTCGAAGGCCTTGCAGGATGCTGGGGAGTCCTCAGGGGGTCTTGGGTTTGGGGGCTTAGGGGCTTAGGGTTTAGGGGTTAGGGTTTAGGGTTAGGGTCTTGGGTTTAGGGGCTTAGGGGCTTAGGGTTTAGGGGTTAGGGTTTAAGGTTCTGAGTTTTGGGGTTAGGGTTGGGGGTTTAGGCTTCAGGGCCAAGGGGTTAGGGTTGAGGGTTTTCGGATCTCTGGGTGAATGTTTAAGGATGTGTAAGTGCAAGGTATAGGGAGCGGGCGAGCGAGCGAGGGAAGGGAGCGAGAGAGCTGTGGTCACTGTGGTCTGTTTCGTCCGTTTCTTGTGTACATGCATGCGGTATGCAAAACATGTGGCATGGGAAGCGGTACCTTCATATATATATATATATACACATCTATCTATCTATCTATCTATCTATCTATCTATCTATCTATCTGTATCCCAGCCAGGGATACCGCGAGCAAAAACTGCTCTCTTCATGGTCCCGGTTTATGCAATGAACCGGGAAATTCAACCAAGGGCTTCCTGCCTGGTGGAAAGTCGAGACGGTCTGGGCCTGGATGCCTCTCAAAGGTTCAGAGCCACAAGTCTGGGTTTAGGGTTTAGGGTTTAGGGTTTAGGGTTTAGAGAGGGTCAGAGTTTTCGGTGTTCAGAGGCGCCTTCTTTGTTTTTGACGGCAGAGGGGGGGGAGGGAGGGGGTCTTCAAGTCTCGAGCCGGGCCTTGTACCGCGTCGCAGAGCAGCACGGCCCCCTGACACGCGTGGAGTGACCGAGACACCTCACAGGGCGGAGGCATCCTGTCCTTAAGGAGTGGATGGCAGTCGCTGATGGCTCTGGATGGATAGAGAAGTTGCAACCGACTTGGGCGAGAGCATTCTGGCCGTGGATGTCACTTCCTTCTTGCCCCGAACCCCTGGAGCTCACTTCCGAGGAGCTCTTGCAAGAGAATCCTTCCAACCCGGCCTCGTACGAGAAGTCCACATGTCCAGGCGTGTCGATCCTGGGAGCGCTCACTCCAAGAAATTAAGGAAGGCAGCAGGACCAAGGTCTACACGATACTGTGGACCCGCAGTATAGAACCCGAACTAGTAGGATCCTTGCCAAACCCACCCCAAAACCACAGACCCCACATCCTTCTAAACCCATAGCATGGGCCTTTAAGCTGGAAACAAAAAAAGGGTCGACACTTCGGCCCTCTCCAGCCAATTTAGCTCGATCCATCTCCGAACCGGGCGACCCGGATTCTGAACTTTAGCATGGCGCAGGCCACTTAGGGTTTAGGGGTTCCGAAACCCCAAAAACTTCGACCCGAAATTTCGAAAGTCCTAAACCCTAAACCATAAACCCTAAACCCTAAGCCTGCGTTCAGGGCGAGGATCAGATTGAGCAGGTACTGCAACCCATCCTTCTCCGACCGGACCAGCATCGAGCAGGTCTGGGCCTCTCGGTTTAGGGTTTTGGGTTTAGGGTTTAGGGTTTTGGGGTTTAGGGCTTTGGGTTTTGGGGATCTCTCTGTGTTCTATCAAAGCCGTTTCAAGATCAGCTGTGAACCAAAGTCCGGGCTCAAAGAGATCCAACTCGCAAGGAACCTTGTGCTTGAAACCTTAACCCAAAAGCTGAAAACACTAAACTAGACCAAACCCCCAAGGCCATGAAAACCCTAAAGCTTTAACAATCTTAACCCTGTAAACCCAAAACCCAGAGAGCCCAATAGCCCTAAATTAAGGAATGTACATTAGATCATAATACTGAGGCCCCGATAATTTAAGGTATATTCCTTATTTAAGGGGTGTTGGGCTCTCTGGGAAAGCCCTCAACCCCCGGCACCTTGACCGTGATGCCCCGCTCGCGCTCCACCTCTACACAGGGCAAGGCTTTCGTAGACCGGCCGGTGGGTGGCTCAGGGCTCAGGGTGTCGGGTGCCGGGTTTAGGGCTTAGGATTTAGGGCTTAAGGTTTAGGGTTTGGGTTTTTTTTTGTGTTTAGGGCTTAGGGCTTAGGATTTAGGGTTTAGGGTTTTGGGTTTCGGGCTTAGGATTCGGCGTGTGTTCAGGGACTCTAGTCTGAGAGGATGCCGTTGAGGAGCCGTAGGATGACCCAGGACAGCCTCTAAACTCCTGGCCTCGAGACCGTCAAGGAACTGTTCCCTCGCATTCTCCGGAATCACGCCTCGGGACACCAGGAGCTCAGAGTCCGTCTCGCCATGGGGCTTGTATTATAGGGTTACTATAATGATATGGCATGATAGGATTTCGGGGCAAAGGGTTAAATTACAAGGCCGAGCCAACAACGCCTCCACATCTCCACAAAGGCCGTTCCCGAAACCCTTCCTGGAACCCTAAACTAAAGGAAGGCAAGCCCGCAGCCTTGATCAATAGACCTGACTCTCTACCCTGACTGGAGCCCAAGCTCCAACAGGGAAATCTCCCGAGAAGTTCGAAGCCAAGGCGCCGCAAGATTGGAGGAGCCGATCGCAAAGCGTGCTCTTCCCGTGGTCCACGTGCGCGATGATGCCTTTGAGCGATGGTTGCGCTTCCGAGCTTCCCTTGTGGCTACAAAGGGATTCCGGCCAGGCAGCCCGGGTTTCACGTTGGAGGTTGACGGCGTATGGTAAGGAGGCTTTTCAGCGTTGGGGTGGGGGTTTGCAGTTTCAAGAGTTCGGGGGTTTCCGGTGCTTGCAAGGCTAAACTGCTGGCAGGGGGGGCGGCTTCAGATTATAGTTGCGGACCTCCTTAATCAATGTAAGCACACCCATACCAGCATCCCTAGTATTCAGACACCTTCACTGTGTCTGGGCCAGAGTGTAGGGACTTTCGACTTTCGTTTTTTTTTATAAGGGTTCAGTGGAAGTTTTTGTCAAACAGCAGGCCCCCACGATGCGCTCTCCGAGCGTTGCCATGAATATCTGGGGATCGTACAGGGACAAGACCACTGGGTGAGGCCAAAGGCTCTTTCTTGGTTGAAAGCCGATGTTCAATCTTTACCCATGAAACCTGGAACCCAGAAAACCCATCCGAAGCTGTACAGGGTTTTAGAGCTTGAGGCTTTAAGGCTTTTTGGGAGTTTTCCAGGGTTTTGATGGCTCCCAAAACCGCATCGGAGGCGCTAAAGTTCCGGTTCCGCTCCGGGGGCACCGCGGCCGCCTCCGCAAGAACGGCGGCCTGTGGGGCGGCGGCGCTTTGAAACGCTTGCAGGAGACGGGGCTCAAACCCTAAAACTGAAACAAGAGAATGACTATAAGACCCGATAATGCTATAGTTTAAAGGAAACACAAAACCTAGCCGCCCTAGCCCTCGCTCAGGGTGAGCAAGGTAACTATACCTACAATGGCTGGGATGAAGAAGTGGCACAGGGGTGCGCTTCGAAGTTTGGGCTTCGGGTTCACGGTTAGGGGCTTACGGTTTCAAGCTCAGGGTTGCGCTAACGGCTTGGGATAATGCCCCCGATATTCCAAACGGCGGTAGGCTCTGAACCTCAAATTCATGGCAATAACCGGAAAGTAGTGGAAGAACTAGCCTATGCTGATCTACAATGACATATACGAACCATATGCACTTACACTCTAATCAAACTCTAACCCCCTGCAAAGGGCGATGATGGCCCACACCATGACCCATACTAAGACTACAACCTTTAATCCCCTTAATCCCGTAAACCCTAAGAAACCCTAAACCCTAAACCCTAGACCCTAAACCCTGAAACCTAAACCAAAGACCCTAAACCCTGAACCCTAAACCCTAAAAGTGCCTGCCTTGCTCCCCGAGGAGCTGCCGGTGGCCAGGGCCCGGAGACCGGCGGTACCCTGGCGGAGGCATCGAAGAGCAAGGGTGCTGTGAGGGTTCCATTAGGGTTTAGGGTTTAGGGTTTAGGGTACGACGGCTCGATAGTGGCACTTCCACCAGGGCTCCATAAGCGTACTATGTAAGGCTTCCATGAAGGATCTGAAGGGGTTATATATTGGAGATTTTGGCGTTGTGGGGGTTTGGGTTGTAGGGAGTTTTGGGGTGCAGGGACAGTTCATAGCCGTAGAGTAGCACGAGACTCAAGTCAATAGAACTCTCATATCTCCTTATGAGACATATGATAACAAGGAAATGCACACACAATTGTGACATGTTGGCAGGGAAGCAGCAGACCAATTGGACAACACCCTGAACTTTTTGGAGTAAAGTGGCCGGGGCCGGACTCGGGTATCTTGCTCTCACGGGACATTGCTAGAACCCGGCAGACGAATTGGCTCTCTCGGCCTCTGCTGAACCCGAAATTCTCCGTATGCAAAGCGGCCCAGCCGCCTTGGCGTGAAGTGGCGGACTGCGCGTCCGCACGAAGCTCCTGCTCTGAGGCTGCTCGATGACGAAGGCTTGGGCTGCTTCTTTGCTTAGAGGTGCTTTGGCCTGAAATCCTAAAGAATGCTGTTGGTAAAATCTTCCGACCCCCATCGTAGAAGGCTCTGCATAGGAAGACCTCGAAATCCCGGAGCCCTAAACTCGAGGCCCAAAGTCAAAAACCACTGCGGCACACTTCGATTTGATCGGCTGTCGCTGCGAGGACGGCCGGGGCCCCCCCCTGAACACGAAAAGAACGACGCTAGCTTTAGCTTTTGGGGCTTCAGGGTATTTTGGGCTCTAGGGTTCTACAGGGTTTAGGGCTTCAGAGTCTTTTAGACTCTAGGGTTCTATAGGGTTCAGGGCTTCGGGGCTTTTGGGGCTCTGGCTTCAGAGTGCAAGTCGAGAGGGAAGGCTGGCGGTGTAGCAGAGGCAGCGGCAAAGGGGAGAAAAGAGACGTGGTCTCTGTGTGCGCATCAGCTTTTTGAATGGCTATGTCAGACACCAACCCCTGGGGCTCCAAATAGCCCAAAGTAGGTCCTATTTATAGACTTTAGGCCCCAAAGTAGGTACCATTTGCATACTTGGAGCCCTTGGGAACCGGCCCCAGCCCCAACCTCGAAACAAAAAACAGAACAAGCCCCCAAACTTCAACTCTGAACGCCAAGCCCTAAACCCTTAAATCCTGAATCTGAGCTCTGCTTCCTAAACCCTGCAACGTTAAACCCCTAAAGCCCTAAAGCCCTAAACCCTAAAGCCCTAAAGCCCTAAACACTAAACCTGAAACCCTCTCCAAAAAATCCTCCTCCACGGGCGCAGGGCGCGCGCGAGCGCTGCGGAAGCCGACATGACTCCCGGGCTTTGGGGTTTAGGGTTTTGGGGTTTAGGGTTTAGGGTTTGGGGGTTTTAGCGTCTAGGTTGAGGGTTTAGGGTTTAGGGTTTTAGGGTCTAGGTTGAGGGTTTAGGGTTCAGGGTTTAGGGTTTTAGGGTCATTCCAGGATGTAGCATCTGTGATTCAGGCTTTGGGTGGCGTGTGGGGCTCAGGGTTTCAGCGCTTCGGGGTCTCGGGGGTTCGGGGCCGCTGAAGGTGATGTTGGCGTCAGGGTTGGTGCAGAATTGAAACTATGAGGGCCAAGAGGCCAAGCTCTGTAGTCTGTAGCTTTCGGAGCTGTGTAATCAGAAGGGGTCTGCATAGGGTGACTTCTATCTCCTGCCACTGGCACGTGCTTTGTCCAGGAGTGTAAAGCTTGGAGGTTTTGGTGCGTAGGGCTGTTGCATTTTAGAGCTAACGGTGGCATGTTCCTATCGCCGGATGCCTCAGGCTGCAGAGCATGCAGGCTTTGGTGTGGAATGCGTCGGGGGCATAGGACAACTATATGGGGCCAAATAACCCTGTGTTGCAGGCGAGTGGTCCTGTAATGCAAAGCCAAACATCATGGAAAGTGCCGGTGCATACCTTTTCGACCCAAGGCCTATGCTGTTTCGCACAAGCCTAAGTCACTCATCACCACAAGCTTGCCTCGAGCAAGTGGGTAATGTCGGAGAAGAACTCCAAAGCATGCCCAGTGGCTATTCGGCCGAGTTTGGGAAACTTCATCAAAGCACTCTGGGGTCTAGGGTTCAGGGCCCAGTGTTCACTGAATCCATTATCCTATCGATGGCGGTTGTTCCATAGTGCAAAGGAGGGGTCTTTGATGCATGCGGCGATTCATCCGGCCACCGGGCAACTGCCTATTTACATGTCGCAAGCTTCAACCACGTCAGCTTGAATCGCTGCACCCGGTTTCGGCTTTTCTGTGACATGTTCACCGTCTCAAATGGAACGAGCTCTTGCATGGCCTGTTGAAGCTCTTATGCAATCGGACAGAGAACAGGCAGACATGCCAGGCACTAACCATGCGCAGAGGCGCAAGCGACCACGCAATCGAACCCGCGCCCAATCATGGCATTTCTGAGCAGGCACGATTCAACACGAAGCACGCCGGACCATTGGCTGGTGGCAGAAGGTACTGAAGCTCCAGACCCCACACTCGACACCTTAAACTGTGCGACCCCTTGACTCTGCAACACAATCAGTGTCAATCAGTACATCTACAGAAACAGATGTATGTCTGTTTGTTTAGATATATATATATATATACACACACACACATACAAAGAAAAATGCCCATGAAGGCCCTGAAACCCGGGACCGGCATACCACCAACAGCCAGGCGAAGAAGCCGCAAGCAGTCTCACTTCTTGCTCTTGTCGCGCCACCAAATCCCTTCCCGACCAACGCCTCCCTGCGTTTCAGGCTTTTGGGGGGCTGGAGGTTCAGGGGCCCGTTTGCAAGGTTCAGGACGGGTCGGAGTTCCATCTCAGCTCCAAGCTCTGAGGCAGCAGCCCTGCATCGAGGAATGACCCATGGCAGGCTTCCCTAGGATGATATAATATGATATAATATAATATAATACAATATAATATAATACAATACAACATAATACTATAATATAATATGATATAATATAATATAATATAATACAAATCCCCAAGATCCGAGGATTCCAAAAGAGGGGACTCCGGGACCGCTTAGAATCAGGATGCTTGCCATTTCAGGGTATGGTCTAACGTCTGCATCTGGGAAAGCCCCCCACATTCTACTGTGACTTTGTTGATGTTGTAGTCACCTGGTAGTCTGAATCATTGAAATACCGGGTTCTAGGAACTCTGAGGGATTCTATAACCTACGCCCTGTTTGCTCACGGAGCCTTCAGCCTAGTCTCTCTGGTTCTTAGTAGGGAATGGGGGAATGGATCCCTGTGACAGTCCCTTAAGGTCCCTTATAGTAGTCCCAATAACCCATTCCCCCATTCCCTACTAACTAGGTTCCCCAGTAGCCCCTAAATGATAAGGGTACCCTTTTTCCTACTCTTTGGTTTTATTCAGGGAACCTGAAAAGAAAAAGGGCAAAAGGGTACTACAGGGGAACCTAGCTAAGAACCAGTCAGTAGTGCTACCCAGACGGTCCCGCCTCCTCGTTCTTGTCCACCCTGCCAGGCAGACCCCCAAAATGTTGGGCATGAAGTCGGGTTAACAGCGCTTGGTGTGTAGGTATACGGTTATAGGGATTCCTATGGGGACCATAGGAATACTCCCCTACATCCTTCCAAAGCTACTGCCCTGCTGGAGTTTTCAGGGTCTTCTTCTCTACTGGTCGTGCTTGCACAAGCCGCGACAGCCATGATGCGGTGCCAACAGAAGCCCCTACTGCTGTCTTACCTGCTCCCAAGACTGGCCCGGAAGGTTGCAGACTTGCAGATGTTGCTGCTGTTGCTGCTGCTATACCGAAAAAGCTTCTGTGGCGACGAAAGCGGGTGATCGCTGCCACCCACTACCACAACCTGCGCTATTTTTCGCAGAAGCTGAAGGCCCTCTGGGCTCCCGGCATGCTGGGGCTCTTGCTGAACTGGCCATCTCCTGCTCGGGAGCTTCAGGCTCGGAGGGCTTTTGTGCCCTCGATGCTCCTTGCTACACGGAGAAAACTGTGCCCATGCTGGCTCCCGGTGGTTTTCTGGGGATGTACAACGAAGAGCATCAAAAGCTTTGCACGCAGAGCGATGCGGAGCGATGGAGCATCAGCAGGGCAGTGTCCTGAAACTGCCTTCTCGAAAATTGAAACCGAGCAAAACTGGGTCATGAGTGCTGAGGAACCTGCGTGCTTCTGTTTGAGAGCTTCGGGCTTCGGCACACGAATTTGAAAAGCAGAGATTCACCTTGCTCATGGTGGGGTCTCCACCCATCGCAAACCGAAAACCTCGAGCCTGAAGTCCTCAAGCTCGAGCCGTCAGCTTCATTTCCGACGCTTCAACCCTGAACCAGAAAGCTTTTAAGCCACCCACCATCAGCGAACTCAAGCTTTCCGCTTTTTGACCCCAAGCCCCAAGCTGGTCAGGAAACCGCATCTACATCTACCCCAAAGTGTAGCTCCTGCCGTCTCCTTCGACTGGAGAGAGCCTTCCCGCCTTTGAAAGCAGGGCCGAGGCAGGAGGGTCTCCAGCAACCCCAAACTTTGGGGAGTAGGCGGGGGTGGCATAAAGGATCGAGGACCTAAAAGGTTTAGGGTTTAGGGTTTATGGTTTAGGGTTCAGGGTGTAGGGCTGAAAAATTGAAAATTGAAGGTTTGAAGGTTTCGGGGTGTGGCATTTGCGGCTTGGGGCTTGAAGCGCTTGCGGTTTCAGGTTTTGAGCTAGCTTGGCCGTGAGGCTTTGAGGCCAAAGGTTCAACATTTGGGGTCTAAATGGCTTCAGGTCTGAGGATTAAGTCACTGCAGATATAGGTACACATGCATCTACATCCTAGTACATGTCAGCGTGGCTGAATATCCTCTCTACATCGACTTGCGCGTGAGTCCCAACGAACCGACAATAGTACTCTTAAAGCCTCGGCCCCCAAAAGCTTTGGCATTAAGCCCCGAAGGTCCGAGGCTGAGTTTTTT